AATTAAAACGCCTGCAGTATCATGTGCATTCAGCTTCCCGCACTTCAAAATAGCTTCGTAGCGGGGCCCTTGGCATGGCTTTATGAGGACTCGTGGGGCACTGGCTAGGTACCAGAGGATTGGAAAAGGGCCAACGTGGTCCCCATTTACTAACAGGGGAGAAAGGAGGACCCCGGCAATTATAGGCCAGTCAGTCTTACCTCGGTCCTTGGGAATACCTTTGAGAAAATTATCAAAGAGCACATCTGCAAGGGCCTAGCAGGGGAGGTAATGCTCAGAGGCAACCAACATGGGTTCATTGAGGGCAGGTCCTGACTGACTAACCTAGTTTGACTAACCTGTTTTTTTTTTTTATGATCAGGTCACAAAGTCCCTGGACGAGGGTGTTGGAGTGGATGTCATCTTCCTGGACTTTAAGAAGGCCTTTGACACAGTTTCCTACCACATTCTCTTAAAAAACTAGGTGACTGTGGCATTGATGCCTACACAGTCAGATGGGTGGCAAACTGGCTAGATGGTTGCACCCAGGGAGTGGTGGTGGACAGGTCGTTTTTGACCTGGAGGGGTGTGGGCAGTGGAGTCCCCCAAGGCTTGGTCCTGTACTGTTCAACGTCTTTATCAGCGATCTGGATGTGGGTGTGGAACACACGCTGTCCAAATTTGTGGACGACACAAAGTTGTGAGGCAAGGTGGGCATGCTGGAGGGGAGGGACAGAATCCAGCTAGATCTAAACAGGTTGCAGAGGTGGGCAGGTGAGAACAGGATGGAATTCACTGCAGACAAGTGCAAGGTGCTGCATCTAGGGAGAAGGAACCATCACACACCTATAGGCTGGGGAACTCCCTCCTTGTCAACACGGTGGCAGAAAGGGATCTTGGAGTCATTGCTGACTCCAGGATGAACATGAGCCGCCAATGCAAGGAAGCAGTCAGTAAGGCTAACTGCACCTTGTTGTGCATCTACAGATGCATCACAAGCAGGTCCAAGGAGGTGACCCTAACCCTCTATGCAGCATTGGTCAGGCCACAGTTGGAGGACTGCGTCCAGTTCTGGGCGCCACACTTCAAGAGGGATGTGGCCAGCATTGAGAGGCTCCAGAGGAGAGCCACTCGCATGGTCAAGGGGCAGTGGGGCAGGCCCTACGAAAAGAGGCTAAAAGGCCTGAACCTATTCAGCCTCCACAAGAGAAGGCTGAGAGGGGATCTGGTGGCCGTTTACAAAACTCACCGGGGGGACCAGTGGGAATTGAGGGAGGCTCTGTTCCCCTGGGCACCACCCAGGGTTACTAGGAATAATGGCCACAAATTGTTAGAGAGAAGGTTCAGGCTGGACATCAGGAGACATTACTTTACAGTTAGGGCTGCCAGGCTCTGGAATGGGCTCCCAAGTGAGGTGTTACTCCCTCCTACCTTGGGGCTCTTCAAGAGGAGGCTGGACAAATATTTGGCTGGGGTGATACGACTGCAGCACCCATTCCTGCCCAGGGCAGGGGGTCAGACCTGATGATCTGTTTAGGCCCCTTCCGACCCTAAGCACTATGAAAATAGCAGCAGGGGCACTTTAACTAAAGCTCATTTAACAAGCTTTAGTTAAAGCATCCCCACCACCATTCTGAAATGTAGGGACACCGAATACATGTGATGTGGAGGCTGCTGGAGTGTGCCAATTAGCATGCTCCAGCAGACTCAATCGAGCCTGCTTCGATGCATGCTAATTGGCACACATCGGAGCAGAAATCCATCACGTGTATAGATGCCCATTCCCTCTAAGTGCCACATTGTGCTGACCTAAGTTGTTCTTCATATCCTTCTGCATCTGTGGACAAAAATCTGTTGGTTCTTGTGCTAACATACATTTCAGAGTTCATCCATGGCCAATCATTTGAAGATGGTGTTGAATCCTTTACAACCCATGGCAAACTGCATGTCAATAGCAGCTGCTTCCTCTTCTCACAAAGGATGTAAAGTTTACTAATCTCAACTGGACAAGACACTAAACCCCTGCAAATTTTCCTTGAAAATTCTAATGGACCACAATGCCAATGAGAGTAGAGGATGGGCTACTTTATACATTTTAAATGACAAACAGTACCTATATTTGCCTACAGGACCTTTAAAAAGCATGTATGCTTTTGTTATTATGTTCAATATATTCCTCACAGGCTTTTGCTCTTCATACAATCTAACTTTGCAAGAAACAAAACATTTTTATTCCCCAGTTATTTTTTCTACTACTCTCTTTATAAAGATAAAACACCACCACCAATACCAAAATATTATTAATAATGATTAATAACAATAATAAAGTAACTCAGAGTTGTGTTAGAAAAGGCTAGGTATATCCGACTGCTCCACAGACGATAAGTACTTAACAATTTACACCTTAACAACAAAAACAAAAATACGAACAAACAAAATAAGCTGAAAGCATAATTAAAGGCCTGATCCCACATTTCTACTGCAGGGAAAACATTTAATTGAACTTCTCCTGTTTCATAAATGATTTTGGATATGGAAATCTATGCGTCACTGAGGTTTACATTGAGAAAAATCAAAAATGATACAGTGTGATGAAGCTTAATAGATTTTAACAGATACTTTCATCTGAGTTTGAAAAACAGGAAACCACAAAAAACTGAAGAGACTTACCACATCAGATGCCATTTAAAGAAAGAATGCTCATCAAATTTCAGTTATGATAAAGAAAGAACAAAATGTGCCCCGACTTTAGAGAACAAAGTTAGGAACCCTATGTCAACCTGTGGTATAGAAACCATGCGCACCAAATTCACCATGAATTCAAGTTATGAGTACCTACTTAATTTCTATAATTTTGAAACCTAAAGGTCTTCTGCCGAGACAGCCAATCAGTGTGTGAATAAAGCGTGACAGCTACCAGCTTGCACCAAATGTTCCTGACAAACAACATGTAGCGATATAAACTAATGGAATAAAGCTTGACAGCCTTTTATGCCAGCCAAAAGATAGGTTCTTTCAAAAAAGTCTTCCCATTAATTTCAGAGAGCTTTGGATCAGGCCTTTTCTCATCTGTTTAAGGCTCAACTGCCTCTGACAGTTGATTGCCAGTGAACACTCATTTCTACTTCACACTATGGCATGACGCAGATTTTAGTCCTAAATGATTTAGGATTATTTTAGGCCTGTCTCCTTTCCCGGCACGCTACACTGCCACACTTGAGGATGACAAACACAAGTTGTAGCCTTTGTATTATAGAGTTGCTAGGTCAAGAGTAAAATCAGTGGTTCAAGGGAAAAGGATGGGTGGGAGGCAGAGAGTGGGTAGACCAGGACATTCAAACTTCTTCCCTTGGTTCAAATAGCCCAAATATGGCAATTTAGAATCATAGAAAATTAGGGTTGGAAGAGGCCTTAA